TTTGTAGGGAACGTGTCATGCCCCTGGTGGAGACTGACTCTGCGGAAGAGGAGGAACAGCCAACAGGGAGTGGGAGTGTGGCTCCAGAGGTGGTGGAGGAGGCTGGGGAAGGGCAGAGGCCAGCTGAGCAATCAGAAGAGGATCCAGGCTCATCCCCTATCCATCCTAGGGCATGCAGAGAGGAGAGGATCAGGGAAAAGCGAGGTCTACTCAGGAGGAGATTACCATGATTCTCCTCGTGGCTTGCAGCTGGGAGCTATGTATATAAGTTTGTAACTGCGTAGTCAGAATTGCTGGAGTCAAAGTTTAGTGTTTCCTTTGAAAGAGGTTTATCTTTGTTGGCATTCTTCCCATGGACTCTCCCCGTTATCTTCCTAGAATGTATGATTAATTATCTTGGCTTGCTTCGGAACTCTCGTCAATGCAGTTTGTTTTGGTTTCCTTTTGCCTCATTATTTACTTTTGTGACTTTAAACTGTGCCTAATAAAACAGTGAAGTTAAGTTGAAGGCATTACCGGACTTTAATGTATGTTTTGGGTTTTGGGTTATTTTGAGAGACTACGGGTCATCACAGAACGGGTGATATTGTCCACCCCCTTCCCCCGTGGGGGTCATACCCTGGCTCCGTTCACCCACATGCTCCACTTGCGAAGGTCCCGGCACCATAGCATGCACTATTTCTTCCCGGTTACCATTATACTGCAGCTTCCTCGATAAGGCATCTGCCAGGAAATTTCTTCCCCCAAGAATATACTTCAATGTAAAATTGAAATGCCTGAAGTACAGTGCCCACCGGACCCATTTGGGTGACAGTTTGTGTGGAGTCTGTAGGGCCTTGAGGTTTTTGTGATCAGTCCAGACCTCGAATGGTGTCACACACCCCTCCAAGAGATGCCTCCATGTCATTAGGGCCCACTGGACCGTGAAGGCCTCCTTCTCCCATAAGCCCATCAGTGTTCTGTGTCAGTTAGTTTGAGGGAGGTGTAGGCGCAGGGTTGTAGTCTGCCCCACTCATTGGTCTGTAATAGAACAGCCCCCACAGCCACATTGCTAGTGTCAGCCTGGACTACAAAAGGCTTGGTGGGGTGCAGGTGTCTCAGTATCGGCTCCCTAGCAAACAATGCCATCATTGTTTTGAAGGCTTGCTGACATGCCATTGTCCATTTCAACGGGTACCCGAGCCTAGGCTTCCCAGTTAGGTGTTTGGTTTTCAGGAGGTCCATGAGGGGGAGAGCCACTCTTGCGAAGTATGGGATGAATTTGTGGTAGAAATTTGTGGTAGAAATTTTGCCCAAAAAGCTTTGCAATTGTTTCTGGGCTTTCGGAGCTTGCCATTCCAGCACCACCTGCACCTTGCCAGTCCAGCACAAACTTCCTTTCACGTTCCAGTGTCCTACATAAAGAAAAGCCAGCAACACCGGTCAATGTGATAATGTTTATCTGGAAATGCGGACCCGGCATGAAGCGACCAACCAGGAGGAATCAAAGTTTGTGCTACCGTGGTTACTTTACCACCCTTTATATCATGCATGCTCCAACCCCCCCGTGTTACACCCCCTCCCCTCCCATCGACAGCTTGCTTCAAATACGGCCACCACAGTCCGGCCAAGCCCACAGACGCCCATCCCGGCTTAGCACACCCAACCTAGCATGCCCCAGCCACCAATCCCGGCTTAGCATGCCCAGCCTAGCATGCCCAGCCTCTGGCTTCTACCCGTGATCCAACAATCAGCTGTTTTCCCGTGATCCGACAATCAACTGTTCTTTCACAATCTGACAATCAGCTGTTCCTCCATGAGCCATTGATGCCCATGCACGCACGTCCCAGCTGGCCACTCCTTCCCCACCTGAATGGCGGCCCCGGGCTGCCTGGCAGTCTGGCACGAGTATTCAAGGCAAGATATGACAAATCAGCCAGAAATTTGCCAGAATTGAATATTGGGGAATGAATCCATATGAGTCCGCTGCCTGGAGATTGAACAGGTCACTGGAAAACAGGTATCTGTTTAATACAGGTGGCACCACGGTCCGATTTAGTGGACATTGAGGGAATTCTCTATCGTTGCAATCGTATGGATTTGCGTGTGGCTGACCAGCCTGACTCCAGTGGACAGGCCAGATTCACCTGGTATTACCACACGATATTTACCCACCAACAAGAGGGAATGCACAGTGTTGATGCCACAGACCAATGTTAATGACAGTTGTAGGGAATGTAAGTCACCTAACAGTTATTTGTGTTGGAAATATATAAACTAGGATAGACATTTTAATACTGTATCTTTAGGAAAATGCTACAACTGTAATTGGGTGTGGTTCCGCAAATGGCCATAAGATGGAGCCAGAAACCTGGGTTGTTTAGTCTCAGAAAGAAGTCTCAGTGAGTTTCTGTTCTTTTCTGTTGGAGAGTGTTGCTGTTCCTCCTAAATGACTGTTACTGATCGTTGATGTAAGTTTGTTACTGAACTGTTTTTTGATATTGGACTTTGATATTTGGATTATCCCTAAACTGAACACTGACTGCTTTACCTGTGAATGACTTGGACTGCTTAAACGTTTATTGGAAGTAAAAACCTACATTTACTGTACAGTGTATCTGTGTGCAGTACCTGTGTTTTCCGGATTCTCAAGTCAGCAGAGGATCGGTTCTGCACTTCTTCGTGCTCAATTCCCTGCTCAATCGCTGGAGAAAGGAAATAGATGAAGAATCCAAGCTGTAGTATAGAAATGAAAAACCAGTGAATGAGTGCAACGGACATCTGAATTGTTGACCTTAATGGTGAGCTACAGATGAAGACTCTCAGGCTAGGTGTCAGCCCCACTAGTAGACAGGGGCTGCAATAGTATGTGGGAAAGACTTTGTGAAACAGTGGGAAGACATGCTACCTAGAGAATAGTCAGACAACATAGGTTGTATCTGAAAAATGGACAGATTTATTAATGAAACTTTACAATATAGTAAAATTAGTTTATCTGGTTGTTTGCTGTCTGGTCTACTTGGTAAGGCTGACATCAATCTAGCAAGTCTGAAAGTACAATTCTCGCATGGTGTCCTTTACAGCCTGAAAAGCTAGGGAAGGTTTCTTCTTTTGCCCTACCTATTTTGCAGCTGCAGGCTATGCTGTCTCTTATCTGACCATTCACTAGGCAGCATCTCCATTCCCCCATCTCCCAAGGTCTTTTCCACCTAGCAGTACATCATGAAATCAACTCCATAGGATGTCTAAAACTACTTTTATTGATATTGGCTAAAATAACAGTACCTTGGAAGTCTGATTGTATTGCACCTCCTCTTTATAGTTCATTGAATTAGGGAAGTGTCTTGTCTGAGTTACTTTTCAGTGTTATCTGGATGTTCTAAACCTAAAAAAGCTTTAGTCCATTTTGCCTAGGTAATGGAGTCTGCATATCTCTATCAAGGTCATCTTCCTTACTGTGCACACTAGGGCATCCTCCTGCCATTTAGTGTGTTTCCACCTATCTGATCCCTTCATGAACAGAGCCATGAAATTTTCTAGTTCAAGACAGGCACAAAGAATTAGAACCATAGTTAAGTTCCAGTTAAGAAGATTTATTGCTCAAGCCTATACACAAAAATCTAATCAACTAAAGGTCAGCACTAAGTTAGCATTAGATAAAAATCAATGGAATTCAACCCCCCTTGGACTTGAACTGTTTGTACATAAGGATTCTAGGCTGCATCCTCTCTTGACTTCTCCTTAACTGAGGATAAATCTTCCTTTGCTGTGATAATATAACTGAAGATTTGCAAACTATCTTAGGTTTGTAACTCAAGAGTCAGTGTGTTGTAGCAATTATGATTAATTTAAATTTATTAAATAATGTATTAAACTTGCTATCAAATTTGTCTTAAACTTTATTAAACTTGTCTCAATGATTCTCTTAACCATCAAAGAAATTACAACCAAATCATTAAAACTTAAAATGTAAAGATAAAAGATGCCAAGCATGATGAAGTGCAGGTTCTTACTCTTCCTTGCCAAAGGCCTGGATGAAAGATGCTGGACTTCAACCACAAAAATCCACATTCATTTTTTTTAACCAATATTTTTTTGCCATATGACAAGTCCACCAAATATGATAATAAGAACCTGGTAGCTGTTTGCATTTCCAACATTTGGGAGATATGTTTTGAAACATCTTTGCCATTCTAAAACATTTTTTTTGTAAATTTTATTTGAGTTTTCACAAAGAGAAAAAAAAATACAAATAAAACATCTTTTTTGAAAGTAGCGTAATCCCGGGTTACATTTCTTCGTACAGACACAAATTCAGGTTCATGCTCATTTTTATATTCTATTCCAGTGATGGCTAACCTATGACACGCGTGTCACTCGTGACACGCCGAGGCACTTTGACTGACACGCCTGTTGGTGTGGGGAAAACCTGCACATTTAGAGGCTGCCTGTGCTCTGCTCCAATCCCTGCTCCCTGCTTGTTGTGTGGAGGCGTGGTGTCACCGCTGCCGCAAGATCTTTGCAGCAGAGAACCAGTTTTAACCGCCATAAACTGAGGTTTGTCAGTTTCATTACCTCAGGAACGCTACAGGAGGAAAGGAGATCCATGAGGTTCACAGCCCTGTAAGGTGGCCTTCCGATCCCCACATCCTGCACCTGCAGCCCTGAGACCAGGGAGACGAGTTTCACAGCCCTGTGTGATCACCCCAACCCAGTCCATCATAAACCAAATTATTGATATTTCTTGAAGTGACAAACGACCCGAGGAAGGCTACACTTTTTCCCGATTTTTGACACACCAAGCTGAAAAGGTTAGCCATCACTGTTCTATTCCATATCTTATTACTATTTTACATTTTCTGCATAGTTTCTCCCCTCTTTTAATTTTCTCAATTTTATTTTAATTATCTCATCTCAATTCAAATCATTGTATTTATATTTTTTGTCTGTCCTGTTTCAATTATCTATTATCTTTTCTCATTAAACAAAATTTCTCCTGTAGTTACTGATTGGAGTATGACGCCTTTATATCTTTTAACTTTATCCATTTAACTCTTATTTAGGCTTCAATATATACCCTAAAGTTATAACATTCAATATAATACATAACTTCCATTCGGATTCTGCTTGGTGCATTCTTAAAATACACACTATATTCTTAAAAAAAGAAAAAATTATAAATGTATGTAATTAAAACAACACATTCCATTCCAATTCAATTATATCATTAATATTAATATTCATTAGTCTTAACTTCTTTAACATTACTTTTCAATTAAATATCATACTTCTATGGGAACAATTATAAGCTTTCCATAATTAATTCCCCCCCCTTCACCTATATTTTATAAAACATTAATTAAAATGTTCCTGTTCCTTCCTAATTCAATTTTCTCATTTATTTTATTTCACTTATTTTATTCACAAACATTTCACTAAATTACACTATTTTATCCCTCATTTTAATCATACATTGTTTCCAATTTTCTAAAGTTATTTCTATTACTAATATAATAATACAATCTTATGTACCTTTACAGAATCCCTTTTTCAGTTAGATTTTCACCCATTATCTCTAAATAGGTCCTGTTTCTGTATATGTTGCTCCAGTCCTTCGTAACTTCTTTCCCTTTCCTTCTTCCCTCTCTTCTTCTCTCTCCCCTTTTTACCCCCTTGTCTCTCTACCTCTATTTCTCTCTTCTGTATTCCCCTTTTCTGTTGCTTTCCAGTATTATACTTATTTTTCAAATTATTTTTCTTTTCTTTGGTTGTTTTTTTAAGTCTTAAATTCTCCATTCTCTTCCCCCCCCCTTTCCTTTTTCTTCCCCACATAAAATTACTTGTTCATTAAAGATGGCTTCTTCTTTGTCCCAGTCTTCTTGTTTTGCAGTCTTTTCTTGTTGTTTCTCATAGTTCCAAATCTCCATTTCTAAGAATTGAAAAACTAGGCCAAAAGAACCCTTCCCTTCTTGTGCATCTTCTTTGTACTTTTTAAGTTCCATTTTCAATTCATCCAGAAGTGGTGCCATTGTATAAATTTTTAAACAACCACCCGATTAATTTTAGTCATTCAAATGTAATAACCAAGAATCCAAAGATCACCAAATAATCCAAATACACGCAAGCTGTTTCTTTTTGCTCTTTTTTTTCACTTTCTCTTCCTGGGGTCACTGTTTAGTTACAAAGTTTCAGTTAAAATGTATCTTTTAGAAGTCTTGTTAAAGTTTTACTGTAGATTCTTTTTAATTCCAGGCAGTCTCCTCCCTCTTCCAGATCCTGCCCTTATTCTTTTTCTCTCCCTTCCTTCTTATGAAAAAAAAAAAATTAGTGTCCAGAAATCTTTATTATCCCTTTGACATTTTGTTTTATTTTCAGCTTAATTGCATATTGAGGTCAAAGCGGATTTTTGCGATTTCTTATTTAAGTCTCTTAGTTGTCAGTATAGGGAAGGAGAGAGAAGAAGAAAAAAGCCAAACCTTTCCCTTTTCACTTTCCTTCGCTGCTTCCGACTCTTCTTTGGGAGCGATGTTATTTTTTTGTAAGTTTAAATTCCAGGATACCTTAGTTGTTGCTTTTACAATTTAACCCGGTCAGCCAAAACTTTCACTTATCTTCCTCCTGCACATTCTTTTCCGGTCGAGTTCTTCTTTGTGGTGGCCATTTCTGACCACCGCTACAACCGCCTTCAGGAAAGGGAGTAATGGCCAGCTGAGGAGGAGAGATGCGACTCTCCTCAACCCTGCTGGCGGTCTCCCCCCTCTTCACCACCTCTACGGGGTGGCTCAGCCCCGAAACCAGCCGGCTCGGGGCGCTCCAGCAGTGAGCCCAGACCGAAACCGCGCACGAATGCGGATTTGTCTGTTGCCGAAGACACTTCAAACCTGCCTTGCCATTCTAAAACATTTTGTAAGGATTTTCTTTATAGGCTGTTGACATCATCAATTTATAATTTCTTTCCCAGAGTTTTTGCCATTTATCTAATTCTATAGCATATCCAAAAATTTTAGACCATACTATCATTGTTTCTTTTACTTGTTCTTTTGAAATTCAATAAATAGCTATATTTTTTTATTAGTTTATCATCTGTCCCTAAAAATATCTGGTCTAGTTCTGAAGGTTCTTTATAAAATCTGTACAGTTCTGCGTCTTTCTGGCATCTTGATTGTATTTGCAGAAGTGGCCACCAAGCCAAATCGATTCCTTGATTTTGCAGTCCTTGTTTTGATTTTAATTCCTCTTGTTCATTTAGGATATCTTTATATCTTGTAATTTTTCTCAGTTCAACAACATTTGGATGTATTAGTGCTTCCATCGTGGATAGCCAGACCAGTATTTTCATGTAATGTTTCTCTTTAATTCTTTCCTATACTGAAAGCAAAGCATTTCTAATATAATGCCTTTGAAAATATCTATGTATTTTATTTTTCCCATACCACATAAATGCATGCCACCCCAATTGTAGATCATGTCCTTCTAAAATCAATACACTTTTATTCCTCAGATTTATCCATTCTTTCACCCATGTAAACACTGAAGCCTGGTAGTACAGCTCCCAATCAGGCAACCCAAATCCCCAGGGGTGGGATTCTACCGGTTCGCACCATTGTTACTGTTCCTAGTAGTTCAGAGAACCGGTAAAACGGGCCCATGGCTGGCCCCACTCCTCTCTGCCCACTCCTCCGTTCCCTGCCCAGTCATTATTGCGCATGCACATTGCGCACATGCGCAACTATCGCTGACAGCATTCTCCCACCGCCCGCTCTGCCCCGTCACTACTTATACTGCATGTGCGCTACACTTCCCACATTTGCCCACCCGCCGCCATCACTTTTACCACCACCAGCAGCAGCCAGCCAGCCAGCCATCGCTGCCTGCCTTCTACCACCCTGCCTGATCCAGGTGAGTGAAGGCAAGCCCTGGTTGCCACCACTGCTAGCCGCCCTCACCAACACGGCCTCACCCGCCTGGACTGCCTTGCCCAGACTGCCTCCCAGGCCTGCCTGCCTGCCTGGACTGCCTTGCCCATGCTGCCTGCTTCGCCCAGCCTGCCTCCCTAGGCCTGCCTGCCTGGCCTGGCCGCCGTTACTGAAGACACGGATCAGTGAGTGAGACCTCCAAGCAAAACCCAGTCACCTACCTGCTGCCATCGCCAGCCCTGGTTGAGTCCCAATGACAACTCCCGGACTGCCAAGCTGCCCTCACTGATGCTGCCTGCCTCGCCCAGCCGCCATCTTCTCCTACCCACGGCCCACCATTGTTGCTGCCTGGCCTTCCACCATCGATTGGTGAGTGAGGAGGCAAGCAGAAAGCCCTGCCGGTTGCCTACCTCCTCCTGCCGCCGCCACCGCCAGCCCCGGTCGAGTGCCGACTTCCGGGCCGCCCTCGCTACCTGCCTCGCCCTGCCAGCAGCCGCCATCTTTGGCCGGCCGCCATCTTTGCTCGGCCGCCATCTTCTCCCGCCCATGGCCCACTGCACCGTTATTGCTGCCTGGCTTTCCACTACCGATTGGTGAGTGAGGAGGCAAAAGCAGCAAGCCCCACTGGTCGCCTACCTTCTCCTGCCGCCGCCGCTGCTAGCCCCAGTCGAGTGCTGACTCCCGGGCCAGCCACCCAGCTGTCCTTGCTGCAGCAAGCTCCAAGAAGACTAGTCCCGACTGAGGACCCCGGTGTAGCTGGCTAGTCAAGTTGCCTGCCTAACTTTTGATAAGTTACTTTTTTATTTCTTTATATATTTATTTTTTTGGTATCTGTTTTGGTTTTTATTAATCATAAAAACAAAAGATATTAAAAAATAAATACATAAATAAATAAAAATTATTTTACTATTATTGTTACATGTTGATACTTCTGTTTGTTTCTCATATTGACATGTGTCAATATGTAACAATAACAGTAGTGTAACAAAAAAAATCATTTATGTATTTATTCATGTTTTCAGTATCTCTTCTGTTTTTATGATTAATAAAAACAAAACCTATACTAAAAATTATTAAAACGTATTTATAATTTTTATTCAGTACATTTTTAAGCTGCATTCTAAAAAGCTTAGGCGACCAAACATGGCTTCCCCTGGCTTCTCTCTCTCTGCTATACAGAGAGCATTCCATTAGGGACTGTTGGTCCAGGTAAGTAGTCTTGGCTAGGAAAGATTTTTGTGCCACTACTGGCACAAAATAACAAACTCCCTTGGTTTGTTAATAGTATTTCCATTTTAAGTGTTTCTTTTTCAATTAATGAATTGTAATTATTAAAATATCAGCCATTCTTTTATATACACATTGCAACACCTTTTTTTATAGACTGTCATTTTCAAATCCACTTTCAGTTCCATCTCAGTCTTGTCTGGTGAAACTTGTTCCTCTTCCATAACATCTTTTAAACACTAACTAGCTATAGTGTCAGAGACTCTTAAAAGTAACTGAATATTACTGATCTCCGCTCCTCGCCTGCTTTCTTTGCTTGTCACTGCCTTCACCACTCAACTTACAACAACAATCGAATCCAAACCACTACATTGTTGATTTCTTTTTGCAGTACATTACCAAGATGAAAAGGCAAATGAGTTTGGCTGCTTTCTTCAGCAAGAAAACAAAAGGAGATCCAAAAGAGTCACAACCACAACCATTGGAGTCTGGGGAAAGCAGCAGCAGCACATCATCAAGTACTGGAAGAACTGAGTCAGACATTGAAAGGAATCTTCCTGACTGCTGGACACTGCAGCAGTACAATAATTTTAGGGCAAAATACAATGGACTGGAAGTTTCCCAGAAAAAGTTAGGTTGCAAGTATTGCAGAAGATTTGAAATTTCGACCAAAGAAAAAAGTGTCCATGCAGCAAAGGAATTTCCAAATCGAACCATCAGGAAAGAGTAAAGCAGTACAGCAAGCTTCTCTCAGAAAAAAATGAAGGAACATTTCTCATCTAAAACTCACAACATTTGTACAGAGAAGTTGAAGCAATGTGAGCAGGATGTGATAAGCAAAGGACTGGAGAGGATGACTGAGAAATATTTGGGTAGTATGTGTAGAGTGTTTACTACAGTGTACAGTCTGGCACAAACCTGCAGACCATTTTCATATATAGAAGATCTGATTGAATTGCAAATTAAAAATGGTTTAGATTTGGGAACAGGGTTGCATTCACGTAAAACTGCAGTTGCAATAGTAGATTTCATTGCAAAAGACATTAGGAAACATTTATTTAGCAAAATTACTGAAAAAACTCGCAAAATCTGTTTGATCATTTTTTTTTTTAAAAAAAAAAGTTTTATTGATTTTAACAACAAATAAAAACACATAAAACATAAAACATAACATAAAAACATCATCATTCTTCATAAATTTACAGACAGTGTATCGGTTGGTTTATCACTCCTTTTTGTGCATCTATTTCATAGTCATCATAATAATTATGTTACATAATAACTCATATTATCAATCAACAATTATATATCCTAATATCCTTATTAAACAATCATTTGACTATAATTTAACTAATTCATGCTTAAGCGAGATAACTATAATTTAGTTAATTTATAACAAATCGTAAAATCATACCAAATCTATCTTAATATAATATTCTAAAAATATTATCAAAACCAATATATATATATATTCTATTATTATATTGTTTTATCTAACCATTGATAAAAAAGATCCCAAACTTCATAGAATTGTTTATCTTCTTGTTCTCTAATTTCAAATGTCAATCTACTCATTTCAGCACATTCCAATATTTTCTTAATAATTTCTTCCTCTAATGGTATTTTCTCATTCTTCCAATTTCTAGCAAATACAATCCTAGCCGCTGTTAACACATTTACAATCAAATACTTTAAGTTTTTATTAAATGTATCAGGTAAGATTCCCAATAGAAAAATCTCTGGTTTCAAATCTATATGTTTTTTTGTCATTTCTTCCAACCATATGCGAATTCTAGTCCAGTATTTCCTGGCCTCCTCACAAGTCCACCACATATGGTAATATGAGCCAGGGATCTGATGACATTTCCAACACTTTTCGGATTTATTCTTGAACATTCTTGCTATTCTTGTCGGGGGAAAATGCCACCTGTAAAACATCTTATACAAATTTTCTTTATATGCTACTGACATTGTCATTTTATAATTTTGAGACCACAATTTTTGCCATTTTTCTAAATCAATCCCATATCCAAAGTTCTTCCCCCAAACAATCATTGTTTCTTTGACTTGTTCTTCCTCTAATTTAATTTCCAACAAATAACTATATAGTTTTTTAATCACTTTTTCATCAGCACCTGTCAAAATCCCATCTAAATCAGTCAATTTATCATAAAATCCTTCTGTTTTAGAATCTTTAAGATACCTTGAGTGTATTTGCGCATATGAAAACCAATTCATCTTTATATCTTGTTCTTCTAGCTTTTGCATCGTTTTAAGTTCACCCTTTTCATCCAGTATTTCCCCATATCTAACTGTTTGTTCCTTCTTATAAATTATGGGATAGGAAAAAGCTTCAATAGTTGATAACCAAACTGGAATTTTCAAATAACATTGTTTCTTAATTTTCTCCCAATTCAACCATAACGATTCCCGTATATAGTGCCTTCTGAAATAACCCTGCGATTTAGTTCCCTTATACCATAAAAAAGCATGCCAACCCAATAATAAATCATGTCCTTCCAATGCCAGTAATCTAGACTTTCTTAACGTTATCCATTCTTTAACCCACATTAAATTTGCAGCTTGATAATACAACTCCCAATTAGGAAGGCCAAATCCTCCTCTAATTCTAGCATCCTGTAAAAGTTTTAGTTTTATTCTCGCTTTCTTACCTTGCCATATATACTTCAACACCATTTTATTTAATTCATCAAAATAGTCTTTACCAAGCCTAATTGGTATTGTTTGAAACAAATATAAAATTCTGGGTAAAATATTCATTTTAATTGTTGAGATTCTACCTATCAAAGATAATTGTAGATTTTCCCATTTTTTCAAGTCAGATGCTATCTGCTGTTTAAGTTTAATATAATTATTCTCTTTCAGTGTAGTACATCTTGACGTCAAAATTATCCCC